CGTCTCCTACATCCCAACATCCCAGTGTGTGCCGCAGCTATATATAATGCAAACATCAAACGCTTGTAACTGCGCTGACCTCTCTCTCCCTGGGAGACCCCTTGTTCCCTCGTAATACAGAAACCATTCCCAAACACACACACACACACACACACACACACACACACACACACACACACACACACACACACACACACACACACACAGGCTGGTTCTAAACTCCAACACACCATCTGAATTTCACCTTATCTCTAAGGACAAGCTCCTCTCTATTTTACAGATGGGCGAGCGGTGATCACTAATCTGGTTCCTATCTTTGACTTCACTCTTTAAAGATCTGAGAAAGGGAAAGCACCGGTGGAGGAGGGGAATTTCTTCACAATGCATCCTGTTTCAGGGACAGGAGAAAGGGGAGGAAGAACAAAATATACTCCACCATGAGAATGAACTTACAGTAGCTCCTTTGTAATGTAAATATCTCATGTAAGACGCAGGATACAAAGCCAACCAACTGCACATGTATTTTAAGATCATCTCAGGAATAATACACACATCGCTGATTCAGGTATTAGATCATTTATTGCTTACTTTTGATTAATTGTATTAAAACCTTAAACAATGGTCACTATATCAGGTATCACTGTACAACACGGCCATGCTCATTAAAACATAAGGACAGAAAGTGACAGACCAGAGGCTGACTAGTGTAAGTGTTTGGTAATATGCATAAATCGACAATCATTTCCAAAGCTGCACTGACTAATCAGGACCAGTAATTGCTCCAATGAGTGAAAACAGGGTTCGACTGGGCCATTGCCCAGAGGAGATTTCTGGTCTACGCCACTGGCTGTGCCTAACCTCTGACCTCAGCTCCTAATCACCAATTAGCATGCGGCCTTTTCTGCATATTGACGAAAGGCAAAAGGCATCAGCTCAGAATGCCTACTAAACAGGCTGAAAACAAAACTACAACATCAACAAAATCCCAAGTTAAATGTCTGCTCCCGAGGACATCTTCTAAATGCAAATGCACACAAATCTTTTGATGCGAGCCAGCATGTTGGTTGAGGGCAGTTGTGGCGGGAGTTGCCTTGGATTTGTAGCTCTCCCTTGTCACAACAATATCTTTTTACCACAGAGCTGCTGACATGATTCATGAGCCAGAGGACTTGATGTGGTGTTGGTGTGCAGGCCAGATGAAATCCCCTCAGTCCACTAATATAGGTTTCGGTGTTGGGCTGTGCTTTACAAGTTACTGTAGCTAAGGAGCCATTTCACACTGCTGAGCTAGAAATAGGTCTTACTGTAGCTAAATCAACCCAGTCCACCCCTCCCCAACCCGTGTCACTGGAGACAGTGTTACACAGTACACACATAATTCTACACACACGTTCAATAAACACATACACACATTCCTTCTCTGCCTCTCTTTCCCTTTCTCTCTCACGTTTCCTTCCTTCCCTTCATAACTACCTTCCATGGCTCTCCCTCTCTCCTTCTACCCCCTCCTCTTTTTTCCAAGTACCTCTCTTTCTATTGCTCCTTCTCCTTCTCCTTCATTAAAATGGACTTCCTAAAGCCTCCATTCGTCTTGCTGACAGCTCCACTATCGATCGGACTTGAGAAAGGGATGCAGTTCCACAGCTTTAAATGGCTCTCTGGCCAGCCTGGATGAAGACTGGGCTGGACTGAGGCCGGAGGCGAGGAAGAGGAGGGAGTGCCAGGTTTAGCCGGGAGGTCTGCTCCAAGTCTGGACTCTGATGCATTATTGGTCATCGGTGAATAACACCTAGAGTCCCCTGATGGCAGGAATCAGAATTTACATGAAAATGACTCACGCACTCTATAATAAGGATTACGCTGATGAGATCAGATAATGAATTAATCACTCAGGTTGAAAGCCAACGAATTAGCCAGCCTCTTCGGGCCACTTGCAAGCTCTCCTGAAAGTGAGAACTATAATGGGACCACTCAAAACACTGGGAAGAAATGTAGGTGGGAGTGTTTCAGTTGGCTACACTGACACGCAATTCATTTCAATCAAAGCCATGTGAACTAATGTTCAGCTGGCTGACGCCTTTAATCGGGCTCCATCCCTTATCGTCAGCCATTATCTAGGGAAGATGAGTTGGCACATTCCGTCTTCATCCCCCTCTCCGTTTGACATCAAATCCCTCTGCCAAGATTAATGATGGGACGTTTGATTTTCTTAATGATTAAAAGCTCTATGGTGTACTCGGTGTCCTGTGGTGAAGTGGAAACCCCAAGGAGCCCGTTCCCTCCTCCCTCTGATGAGCACTATCTATGTGCCTGTTGGTTGTCATCTATAATCATATTGTGCACCACAACAGCGTATCAGAAAGCGAGGGAGTCTCCTGTGACCATGTCACTGTTTATTTGTGATCTAATCTGTCCCACTGTATTGCCCTTGATTGGAGCAGCAAGGGAGAAAAAGATAGACAAGGTGTAATATTCAAGACAAATTACTCAACTTCCCGACTGTGAGCAGTGCAATCTACACAACCCACTGCAGTGTTTAGATTAGGTCTTGTTAGAGTAGCATTAGCGGCAGGTCTTGTGATGCTTGTGTATTGACGCTTTAATCAGTAAATGTAGGAGTCCATACAGCATTCAGCTTTGTCGAGCCAATTTAAAAATCCAAGCCCCTGATGGCGAAGAAGCCTTTAAAAGTGGATTGTGTCGGCTCTCTCTAAAGGCCACTCTCCCACATAATATGGTGACATGGTCGGAGATTCTGTAAAATGGAGAAGGGATAAGACAAACAGGGACAGAGATGGAAGAGAAGTAAAGAAAGGAAGCAGAGGTGATATGGAAGGGCGGAGGGAAGGAGAAATGGAGCATGGGGCACTGAGGAAGGAGAGTGGGAGGAGGTAGCAGAGAGGCAGAGAGCAGTAGTCGATATAACGGCAGTCATTCATCTCTCTGACAGCCTTCCAAATGCTCCACTGGGGGAGACACAAAGCTGCGTCACCTCCAATGCAGCAAATGCACAGGGCACACGCGCACGTTTGCATACATGTGCATACACACACACAGGAAATACATGTTTATGAACCTCGATTTTGCTGTGCATGCACACGCAGAGCTCCATGTTCTGGGTCAACGGTATGTTGCAGGGCATGGTAAGTCAGTACATACACCATTACACTGCAACCTGTACAAGCACAAATCATAGCCAAAGGTGTCAGTTAGACATTCACACACACTGTCTCTCACTCCCATGCACACATAGGCATATATACTGATTTGTAAAATGATGTCTATAACAATCAAATTAAGAGGAATAAATCCTGAGGGCTGTTCAAACAAACCTTTATGGTGGAAAACCTTCTCACATTTTACAATCCTGCATGACACACACTGAAATGTTCCAAGACAAACATGACACATTCACATGACATTGGAATATGGGAACACAGATGTACGCTCCCATTAATACACACAAAAACACACAAACACACACAGACACACAAAAACCCTTGCTTCCCAGTTCTGGTCATGGCCCATTGGCTGATGCCTGCCGTCCATCTCTCGTGATTCATGGCTAAGCGAGCTGCTGTAGAGCAGTTCTAAACCACTGGGCCGAGGAGAGCCTGTGTGTCATTAAGGCACAGCGGGCTGGACATGCTGTTAGAGCCGCTGCACCATGGCCAGCTCTGTGCCTCAGTCTCGCACAACAGGAGGTAAGGAAGCAGGTACTTCTGTATGTGGTACTACTGCTCATAGTGGTTTTACTGGAAAAGTAATATCAACAGCCGAGTGCACTCACAGACGACCTTGCCCTATGAAGTGTGCACAGTGAGCAAGAGATGTGTTGCCTTTCATTTGGTCGGACACCGTTCTCCTCCTGTCCCCACCCAACATTTCAACTAAATTAGCCCCTCTAATCATCCCCAAATCCTCCTCCTTAATCAGCAAAGCAGTGGAGGCTAAAGAAAAGAGACAGAGGTGCCAAGTTCCCCCCTCTGCCACCCTCTATTAGCGTGGGCCCCAAGAAAGGCGGCGGAGGCACACGTCCATACCCTAATGACTCCTTAATGATCCCCTCCTCTGCTAGAGTGCTGACAAACACTGACAAAACCTGACCCTGACAAGAGGAACACCCACACTTAGCCCTCTTCCTCACCCCTTATTTAGAGGCTCATCTCTCAGCCCTCAGCCTCATTATACCAACGAGGGTCCAGCAGGATCCACACAGCCCCCAAACTAGCAGCAAGATAAACACCCATGATGAAATAGTCCGTGTCACTTTCAGAGTGAGGGGCAAAGTTTGAGTAAATTCCTTTCGGCAGATGGAGCGAGAGGGAGAGGGAGCATAGATAAACAAAAGCCAGAGTTAAAAAAGAGAATGGCGGTAGGAGACAGGGAAGAACTGCGGAGCCTATGGAAAAAAACATTGTTTGTATCCTTTTTACTTTTCCCTGATCGTGATTTCCATTTCAACTTGGGGTTGGGGGAGTCAGCAGCGGAGACTCTTTTCAACATCACACACAGACATAATTACAGAGTGCACCACTGCCAGCCCGCCTCAGTTTCTCCTAAATACTCACACCCCAAATTAGGGGTTACCTCCTTCTAGTTAAACCTACTATTTAAGATGAAAACGTCACAGACAAACAGGGGGGACGGGAGAGGGAGTTTGGAGAGGAAAGACCTAGTTTAACAGCTTTGTTTCACAATGACAGAGAAGGCCTTTGTTAAAGATGGTTACTGGCAGGCCTTGGATAAAGCCAGGTGTAGAAACTGGGACAAAAACAAAAGTTGGAAAAGACACACACAGCTAGAAAGACTAGGGAGTGTGTTTATGTTCTATTTGCAGTATATATGACAGCTGAAAATCTGCTAAGGATATTTCCAAAAGGCAGCAAGCTAAAGAAAAACACTAACTTCACGCTAGCCTATGACCTCACTAGTTTGGACCGCAGCTCCCAGTCCCAGTCGCGGATGACAGAGCACTCACTCTTTGAGCCTTTCCCCAGCTCGGCCATCTTTTCTGTTTTGTTTTGTTTTTTTTCAGTTTTTCAGTTCTTTATGGATGTGTCTCCTGGTCAGATTCAGGATTTATTAGTGTCACAGAGTCTGCAGGTCAGCTACAGGCAAGTGGCCAACACTAGGCTTGCCATTTTTTTTGCTGCAGTGTGCTGTAAAGAGCCACAACGGAGATTTTCTTCCCTGGTTATTAGGAGATGAAAAGAGATCCCATGCATGGCTACTTCACTGATATAACAGGACCCAGGTACTGTACTGCCTCTTGATTTATAGAGAACACTCATCTGGAATCTCTGCTTTTTGTCTTTCTCTGCTCTTTCATCACACACAGGCCACTGTTCACCCTGTAGCAGAGACTAGTAGCTGAAGTGTTGTGGTAAACCAGAGCTTTGAGTTACACTACTACTTAGTATTAGTTGTGGTAATAGTATACTAAGTTTTAGACATACATTAAAGATAAATGTTGCTATTAACAAAGAGTATATTATACTGCCACCTTTAAGGGTTTAGGTAGTGTAGTGAATTTAGCCAACATTTTTATCAGTTATGATGACGTTGTACAAGTGCTGGGCGATATATCGGATGAACCAGTACACCGGTTTTAATTTCCTGTATCATAGTAAAGTATCATAGCTAGTATCATATAGCTGAAACAACTGCTGTAACTCTTTAATAGGCAGCAATATTGTTTTTGGATGCACTAATGTTGGGCCAGTCTGTGTTGTAAGTGCACTGAGAGGGGAACCCTATTAACTGTGTAACTGTGTACAAACAGTAATAACTTCATAACACGACAATTAATAACCCACAACTAACTCTATTTAACATAGCACAAAACAATTTGTGACAATTTGTTTTCTTAATAGAACATTGGACAAATATCTCTCTGAATACTTATGACTTTTTGTCAGTTTAGTACATATTTACATAACATATTTTGCTTATTTTGCTTTGAAAAGGAAGGAATGTTAAAGTTGTCATATCTTTTTTATTTTTAAGGTTCTGTTTTTTACTACCTTGCAGCAAAATGGTTTACATTCTGATTCCATCAAAACTTCAGCATATACATTAAAATGTTTTATATTCTATGTGCTCCTAACAGTAGAAAAAGCCACTACAAAACTATATAAAAGCCCAGTCATGCATAAAAATGAAATACTGTTATACACCGTGAAACCGTGTGTTTAAAAATGCTGTGATACAGATTTTTGTCAAACCGCCCAGCGTCACATTGTACTCTCCAGTGTAATTGCCGCGATTTGGAAGCATGGCGACGATGCTACAACAAAGTCCAATGTGGAAAGAAACATGAACGTTCAAACGTTCAGACAGGTTGTGATCAAGCCAACAGGTTGCCCAGATGTCAGCAATTAACTTGATGAGCACAATCTCATTATAACAGATTTTCCTTTAAAGGTGGCAATCAAACACCGGACACAAAAAAAAAGACTAGGGTTGGTAACGCACACACAAACATACACACACAAACTGCAACAAGTTCACAGAGTTCATTTAAATGTGTCTTTTATCATCTTTCAAGCTTTTTACCCACATGATCAAAACCTGAAGCTCAACGGAATCAAAACCCACATCCCACGTCATATCAAAGCCACATGGTCCACCAGGTCCTTTTATCACATCAAACATCTAACTGTATATGATTTCATTAAAGTCTCCAGGAAATTCTCAGCAACTGCAATGCAGTCTAATTAAAGTTGTTTCAATTCACATATGGCGCATATTCCTGTATCACTGACGATTGGAATCGATGCCACATATTCAGTCTCTTCTCCGCACTCCTACACTGTAGGCCGCGCACTGGAAATCCAGTCAGGAACAACATCCTGTCCCCGGCCTCTAGGAAGTGACCTCAGCTTCAGAGAGGCCAGATAAAACGTCCACATCAGAAACAAAAACAACAGGCCGGCCGTAATGAGCTATCCACCAGGCTCCAGTGTGTTCTGAGGGAGACCAGGTGGTGTGACACACATATGACTCTGATTAGGGGGCCTTCAGAGGAACAAGAGGAGAGTGGGGGGGCAGTAGGGTGGACCATGCAGGGCCAATCGGGACGTGTTGTATATGATGCAACTATTAGTGGTGTTCAATGACCTCCACCGGGCCCCAGGACACTCAGGCACCCATGAGCCATTTGCCATTTGTGTGGAAGCATGGGGGTGCAGTTTGGGTATTGTTTTCCACTAAGAAGCAACATGTGAGCAGCACAGGCTTCTGAATATATGCTGCACTATGGATTACAGCAGTTTGATAATTATATATTTATACTGTAGTGCTAGTTCTTTAAATGAAACTAGGAGCAGAATCATACTACTCTGTACATATACATATATATGTGTCTATATACACACTCGCACACATACACAAACAAGGTAAAACATTAAATCAGACATTTGGCCATCCAATTACTGCTACAGCCAACCATGTGCCGAGCAGTCAAACCCTCAGAGCACACACTGAGGACTTTGCATATGTCCTCTATGTCTCTCACCCATCTCTCTCTCTAACCTCATTACATGACAGAGGTTTCTGGCACTGGTGTCTGCAGACTCATAATCATACTTCTGCTCTGCACACATCCTCAAACTGTGGGAGGGAGAGATGTCAAAGGGACCTCGGGCCTCATTCTTCAACCGTTAGTTTCATCCTGGTGCATTGTGCTTCGTTTGACTGGACTGTTTAAATGTCTCCTGATATCAGGGAACACAAACAAGCAGGGCTGCCGGCCTGGTGGGGAGGATAAGGAATGAGGGGGAAACGGAGGCCATTCTTCTCCCCGTGTGACGGGAATTGTGTTGGAACAAGCACCTGTCACCCTCCAACAATGACCACAGAGGGTCGGGCAGAGACAGGGAGAGAGAGGGAGAGAGAGTAGTAAAAGACAGAGTGAAGGGAGAAAGAGGGCACCAAACAGTAAAGAAAAGTGGATCCGTCTGCCTAACTAATTTCCCTCCATCTCCTAATTTCTCTTCTTTCCCTCCACTCTTCCTTCCTCTCTCTGCCCCATATTCAAACAACTTAATCTGTGTAAATTACATTCCAAACCAGGCGTATGTTACAAAGCCCCAGACTTACTGCTACATGGACCAGATAAACATCTGCATAATATCTGCATAAATGGTTTGCATTGATAACAAGGTGAACCAGCTGCTGAGGCTATCCTATTGGCCTTTCCTTCAACTGCCTCGCTCTCTCTCCTCCCCCATCACCTTCATGTGTTCTCTACACCAACTTGACACCCATGTTTTTAAATAGACAAAAAGCAGCAGCATCTCTGTGTCCTTCAGACTCCTCCTTCAGATACCCTCTAAACATGGAGAACAGAGGAATGCTGGGCACAGCACAATCCCACACCTACAAAATGATAAGAGACTCAGAGAAAAAAAAGAACTTTTTAACCTTCATTCATTGTCCTCTGCAATGACAGCTAGCCTGCTCTATTCATTTCTGACTGCTGTAAATGCTTTTAAACCCTGCAAGTGTTTGCCTCTTACCTCTCTGTCCTTTAGCTTCATGGCCAGAACCAGCTGGTTGCGATGGTTGGTCAGAGCTTCGCGGTAGTTTCCCTTGGAGAAGAATGCCGAGCCCAGATTTCCATGAGCACGGCATTCCCCTGTTTGGTCACCTGAAGAGGAAAAACCCGAGAAGAGATGAGGGGGGAAAAGAGCCAAGAAAGCATATTTACGGTACAGTCTACATGATTACAAAGCAGCTGGTGTTTATTTCACATCATCCCACTGCCACTGTTGAACAGCGATGTGATGAACCACATCGATGCCACTGACATGCCACCGCACCCTTAAAAGGGAAAGTGGCCGTTATAAGTTCTCCACAGTAGAGCAGCTTCCCTGACAGCTGGTAGTGTTGATCTCAATGCTCCAGAGGGTGAGAGGGGAAAGCCTTATTATTTCTGCCTGACAGAGAGGCCCCACAGACAGGGCCAAAGTAAAGCGCAAGTCTCTGTGCTCCACCTGAGAACCACAGCTCCTTATCTCCAGCTGCTCTGCCCAGTCATGTGTCAAACTGTGTGGGGGTGAGAAGAGTGGAGCCAGTCTGTGCTACTCTCTGTTTTCATTTTTTTCCCTTATCTTACCACCAAGTTTTTTATTTCCCTTACTGTCATTCTCTCAGACCCTTCCTCCTCTCCCTATATTAACACCCACACAGCGTATCCATACATCTATTTTTGAGGAAATAAGTGGGTTGAATCCTGTCAGTTTCTTGCAGATTTAAATGACCTTACATCCTGGTGAAAGATGTTCATCAGGGGAAAAACACAAAGGGACAAAAATCTGTCCCAGGTCAGCAAAATAGTTTTTTGTATTCCTTCGCAGTGAGGCTAGACAAACATTTAAAAAATATGCTGGCATTCTGCTTTCATGAAGATACAAAAGAACAAGACTGAGAATCTACAGCCATGCTAGCCGCTCTTTAAGGCTATACTTTTGCCTTTATACTAAATTATTATTATATTATTTACTTTTATACTAATATATATAATTTTCAAAATCAGCTGCAGTGATCAGAAATTATCGTATGTAATGAGTTATTAAAGGAGGATAATGCAATAAGGTTGTGCAGTTTTAGTGACTTCTGTAACTGTTTCCAGTCACTGGGAGCGGCAAAAATTAAGCTCAGCGTTAATTCAGGCAGGCCACGAAGTCAAGCTCAGCTCTCAATTCATGCTACATCAGCTGATCATAGCCATACCACCAAATGTATCATTCTGCTTTGGAATAAAAGTTCTTTTGACAAAAGTGGTCCTGACTGAACCTAAAACAGTGACGGCCGAAGGAGGTATGGACTTTAGGAGTGACCAAAGTACCGTTCTAGAAAATATGCTCGTACTAATAATGTAGACAGGTTGATGTTTAGCAGGTGTAATGTTCAGTGGATTTCAAAAAGATTTATTACATTTCTTTGTTTTAGATAATTGTAAAATAAGTATCCTTTGATTTTTGGAGTGTTGATTGGACACAGTGACTAACTTCATGATGTCACCTTTGGCTCTGAAACATTGTCTTCTGCAACTTTTATAAAAAAAGTTTTTAAAGTCTGAGAAAGATAGTTGATTGTTGAGTCTCATTCCCAGGTCATCAAAGTGTCGGCATTTGAAAACTTTGGAATGAGACTCAACAGTCAATTATCTTTATTGGCTCTGATTGGTGTATTCTGGCAAATGCCATTAGCAGCACAAGTAGGAGTCAGAGGAATTGGACTTTTTCCAGATTATCTGTCTTGTGTACTACTGCCAGGATATAGTGAAGGTTCCAGCAAATATGAGAAAAAGTTATTTCGGTAACAAAAGTAAAAATTTGTTGAATCCCTAATCTATCTTATTATTCCTTTTTCTCCCAGTTCAGACATCTTACCTAAGGTCTTGGCCACCTCCAAGTCCTGCTGCATGTAGCCAGTGCTCTTCTCGGTGTTGCCCAGGGACCAGTGGGCACTGCTTAGGGCCGAGAAGACGGAGCCGCGTAGCTTGAGGCTGCATGTGCCGATCTTCAAAGCGGCTTCCAGAACCACAACAGAGGCTGTGTGGTGGCTTGCTGTCAGCAGCTCCTGGCCAATCACAGACACCACCACAAAGGGACTTTTGTCCAGTTTCATCTTTTGCAGCTGCTGATAGGTGGGCTCGAGAGACTCTGCGAAGGAAGGACATGAGTAAGACAGAGATTAGAAACAGACTCCAAAATATGCCAAAACATAACCTTGTGCTGACATGGTGACTGACAACAATATATCTGACTCTGATTGCAGTCACTGTGTTACGTGTTTACCAGACCAGACAAATGTGACTTCTGTCTGAATTCTGCTTTTCTCTGGTAGTGGCTGTGTTTTGTCTGCCTGGATAAGCATAGCCTGTAGCTTGGCTGAGTGACGGCTCTCACTGACAATTTGACAATAAGTCATCATATGAGCCATTTCTCTGTTCCCTCCACTCTCACTGGGGTAATCTCAGGCAATTTCCAACAGCGCTGCATAAAAATGGCACAAGTTTAGACCATTGTGGGTGGCTGTCTTTACAAACCTCACAGCGAAATTATATTTCTGCCTTCTCTCCGTGTCAGTCAATATGGTTGTTTGAGAGAATACAGGCCGGCTGAATGGGTTTTGAGACAGAGTTTAAGGAATGATGGGGAAACTAATGCAGCCAATGCACAACAGTAGCAGCACCAGATGAATGCAGAGCAAAGGAGACATACAAGGTGACCTTTGAAGAGGCTGAAAATGCACACAATGACATAAATCAATGGTGGGCCGCCCGGGATTCGGGATCCACAGCCCCTTCAGATTACAAAGCCCTCTGGCAGACACCAACATCGAACAACAGGAAGGGGGGGCAACGGGGGCTCGCCCAAGTGTGTGTCTTTGTGTCTATTGACGTATTTGTGTGTGTCACTGTATATTTACATTCATGTTTAGGAGTGTATCAGGGGGATGCTTAATACTCATGGCCCCGTATTTGCAAATATTTTGAGCAGAGTTGCTACTAATTAGGTCAAAGCACTTTACAGAAGACGGCATGGTGTTGATGTGCCTGTACAAACTGCCTAACTGTGGTTGTGTGTCTACATTTCAGCATAAGGCACAGGGTTTCATAAACTGTTTCCTTCATTTGTTTAGACAAACATTTAGTATACAGTCGCAATATCTGAACAAACTCAATAGTTCTTGGAAATACGCACAGATACTAATTCACCTAGACACTCACTCACTCACACACACACACACACACACACACACACACACACACACACACACACACACACACACAAATATGCGATGCTTCCCCACACAAGCACTCAAAAGCATAACTGATGATGTTCTTTCAAGAGCATTGCTTCTGTTCCAGCACTTGGCAGAATGTCGTGCTTACAGAGACAGTGCGTGCATATAATATCCATTCATAGCTTGTAATTGCTTTCAGAGTGACACGGAGAGCTGAGTCATAAATCAAACACTGAGAGAATCATTTTTTAAAAAGGTGTCATGGCTGCTGCATTCATAAACAGGTAGTTATGACAACATTCGAGTGTGTTGTTTCACACACAGGCATACACACGCACACAAAGTCAAATGCAAGAGCTTAAGTGTTTACTGAGCCTTGTATCGAGATACGAAGCAAGAATTACAACCGCTATCTCACTGACATACACACAGCTGAACAGAAAGTCATAACAGAGAGTCATTTCGCTCCTTTTGTCTTGTAAGAAAGGCTTTTTAAGGTTGTTTTTGCAGCCAGAGCCACACCTCACTGTAATGACAGTATACTTGTGGACGGAAATACATATTTGCAATGTACAAAAAAGTTATTCTGCCTAACATCTCATGTGAAAACATATGGCATGCACTCTCCCTCCTGTATTTGAGGATCATAGAGGACGTGAAATAATATAAAACCTTAAGTATTTTTTTAAATGTTGTTCTTGGCATTTATGTAAACTACTAATACTAAACAATATTACTGGATAAAATGAGCATTAAGATGTTACTATTATCATAAAATGATAAAACCAGTATGTTTTTATGTGTGGTTGTGACAAGATAAACTATTGTTTTTAAGTTTGGCTTTTTAAAAAGGATGAGGCTGGTGACATTATACTTTTGTAACTGCTAACAAATCCAATGAAAATACCAAAAGCAGCATTGTGTTAAGCACAGCAACCAGCTTGTGAGTATTTACAGCAGTAGAAAGTAGGGGTGTAAGAATAAATCTTATTGTGTTTTGTGACACTGTATCAATTCTCAGAAACATTGTATTGATTTTTAATTAATGGTTTACATGCAAAGATTCATGGCAGTGGTTCATTTTGTGTTGTGTTGGGTTTAACCCCCCCCCCCCCAGATAGCCGATGTTACGGGGATTGTGACAAATGCAACAATGTACAATACAGGTCCTGCTGTTCTGATTATGTAAAAAAGTTAACTTTTATAACTCAGATTTTATGCATTTTTTGGTTTGTTTTCCTGAAATTGGATTTGAAAAAATTGGAATATCCCGCCTTGCTTGCAGTATTGCAATTTGTTACAATATATTGAATGTAACCCCTGTATCATGATACTTTGCCAGATTCTTGCCAATAACACAACCCTAGTAGAAATGTGCATGTGGAATCGTCTCCAGATAAAGTACAGTGCTCATTTTGATTGTGATGAAGGAAGGCTTGGATCAGTTGGTTTTGGTTTTGTTGGATTTGTTGGTGATAAGAAAATATTAAATATAATAACCCTTATCCTTTAATGCGTTTCCTTATTGATCTCTGTGGAAACAATTGACAGCAAAGGTCAGATGACAGTGTAAGTTACATAGTGACCCGTCTGGCACTCGTCAAAAGCACTTTGCTCAAAGGATCCTCAGCAGGACAGATGCTAATGAAAACAGGCTCTAAATCCTCTGGTTAAAGGACAAGCTTTTTAATGGCAAATGGTCCAGCCTGGGTCAATAACTGCCACACTGTGAAACCATCTCTTCTATGGTTTATCTGGAGGGATCTTGAAGTGAAAAACCCCTTTTCAGTCCCCATATGTGGAAAACAATCCAATAATTAACGGCTAATGGACCCTTTGCACTCTCTCTGGCCCCAAGCAGCTGAACGACAGACAGAACTGGAGCAGGATGAATAGTAAGAATATTACCCATGTGATTACATACATAGTAAAACACATCCTCCAATAGATAAAACTGTGAGGGGCTGATTTCCCACCGCTCGTTCAATGATGCAGATGGACAATGCTGATATTGGAGGAAGAATTGCTGCCAGGGTGATCGAGAGTGGCAGACGGGAAGAGACGGATACAGTAAGAAGCAGGAGGTGAGATTGCACCAGTTTCCACTTGTGTGAGGGCCCTTTGTTGTGGGAAATACAGTATGAGTCACATGAGAGAACAACAGCTGCTTGACTCTGGGATAATGAAAAGAAACCTTGATCTATGCAAGGAGGAGTGTGTGTCAGGCAGAGATGGTTGAAGTGTATACGACACAATAAGAATTGGGGTATTATACATATATAATTACATTTACTGCGGGAAGAAATCAAGCTTTGATGAATTCACTACGCACTGTGTCCTTGAAGACATATGCCTTGATATAGTTCTCTGAGAAAAAGTATATTTGATTCTCTCTCCTTCTATCCTAATTTATTTATTTTTTTATTTTGGTGCGGATGTCATGACGGATCTCTTTGCTTTGTGGCAAAAAACAAACATATAGGTGCTTTGGGAGGACTGTAAACATCACAGTGTGTTGAGATTGTCTGTGGTAAGATAAATGACTAAGATAAGTGAACACTGCAACCAAAGCTAGATACAATCCGCTCTTTCTTGTTAACATGGCAGCAACATTGAGTTTATTTGCATAAGGGAATAGTGCGAGTTTACAGAACTGCTATAAGAGATTTAAGTGTAATTACAAAGGGATTACAACTTTTTAGTGTAATTACAACGTTGTTACAACCCAAAACAAGCAGGTGGGAAACCAGCTGAGAACAACAGCTTCATGTATATTGGTTTTTAGCAACCTGACAGGCCATATTTGTGGCTCAAGGTGGTTTTTGACAGTTTTGGCATTGCTCAAGTGCAATTTCATTGTTGGGTGAAGTAATCAACAAGGTGACTCCTACGGTGAGTGTGCTATGAGGCCAATAAATACCGCTGTCAGGAGGGGCGCCCATATCAAGGCCGAGGTTCGATGCTGCATGTCATTCCATCTCTTTCCTCTGCCTTTCATATCTCTCTCTACTGTCACTATCCAAAATAAAGTAAAATGGCAAATATATATATATATGTATATATTAGAAATAGAATAAAAATAAAATAAGGCTGGCAGGAACTTGGCATTCTTCCTCCCTGAAGGCGAGAAAACAACGCTCGCCTACCTTTCACTTATCAGGGGACTTTGGCTGAGTAACAGTGATTATCCTCCCTGTTTTCTGGCGTAACATTGATTATCGTCCCCCTGTGCCAGGAGCCCCTCTGAGAGGATCATTGCTCCTAATCCTTTGACCTAGCTACCTCTCCTCAACACACCTTGGATTAGGTCCTTCGCTGGTTGCCTGGCACTGTGGGAAATAGGGTAAACAATTAAGAGATTAAATGGCTTGGGCTAAATGTTGGTCTTCCCCTACAGAGAGGGCCCATTCTGGTCCACGATGCTCGGGTCTGGGCTCGCACCCAAACCCTTTTCTTGTTTTGGCTCCAGTGACAGGCTTATGCACCCAATGTCGCTCAGATGGGCTCTCCATTCTTTATTCTCTTTGCAATTTTTTTTTTTCCTTCTGCATTTGCACACAAATATTCAGAGGAGCACTGTATTCAATCAAAGGAAAACTGATTCCTCTCTGAACAAAGCAGCTTCAGAGCTGCTGATCTCATTGTACAGTTCAGTAAATTTGGATTATAAAACAAGGCCACATTTATTCACAGGCGCAGTTTTCAGCACCGTTTGG